ACCAGCTGCAATGACAGTTTTCAGGTGTGACACTGCACTACTGCAATAAATGATACCCCAGAAGAGCCTAGGGGGAAAAATGTGTTTCTCTTAGCAAGTGGCTTATTAATAAGTGACTTGTATACCCATCTTCTCTGTGAGTGTACTACAAAAAAGTAAAGGGCTTATGAACCTCTTTTTCCTTCTATGCTATTTTTATTTATAGAATCAGGCAAGAAAAGAACTCACTTCAGTAGCTTTATTTTATAGATGAAAAATCAAGACTCACAGAGGCTGCAGCATAGTTGACGAGTGCCTGGTCTCCAGAATCAAACTTCCTAGGTTCAAATCCACCTTTTAGCTGTATGATCTTGGGCAAGACATTTAATCTCTGAAGGCCTCAGTTTCCTTAACTTTAAAAATAAGCATTCCAAGATACATAATTCTCTCTGAGGTTGTTGTCAAAATTAAATATAAAGGTCCTGAATGGTTCCTGAAAAATAATAAATATTAGAAATTTTAATGAAATGACGCACAAAATCTGGCAGTCAGGAGCAAAGCCAGGACCATTGTAGGAATACAAGACACTTGGTGCTTCTATGATATATATCAAAGCTTACTACTTGTGGTATTAATTATCTTTTTTTCTTCTGGATATTCTTTTCAAAGTTCATTCAAAAACATACATTTGTATTTAGCACATTTTTAGCTTTTTGGAATGCTTTCATTTATAGTTCGGTTTTCTATTTCTGCAAAGCTCTCTCTTCAAAAGATGTACTCCAGGCATTGAAGTGCCTTAGGGCATTATTAGAAACCTCGGTTTTCAGTGTACTATTGAGTTAGAAATACTACTTAACAGATATTTGAGTTGATAAACTGCCAGAAGAAAATTAGTTTTTACTGAACTCTGCATTCTCTGTGAGTTCTTCCACTACAAAGTAAAAAATTAACAGAAAAGCATTAAAGCTCTCTCCAATGATAGAATTATATATTACTGTAATTCCTACAGATGGTAAAGTGAAATATCATTTGACAATATTTTCTACTATTTCTCCTTTAAATTATATATTAGATTTATAAATATGAGGCATAACATTTATCTATGGATTACACTGTATGGAAAATAATATTTTAATTACTAGCTATTTATCACAAAGTCATAAAGAAAAATTTATACAGACACTCCTCACTTTTCATAGAACAGTAACTTCTATTTTCTTATATTCCTCACACATGTGTCATCTGGCTGTAGTGAAAGTCTTTTCACTATTCCTTACATGAAAAATGATAGCTGGTGATAATAAATTGTTATAATATTCAATTTTATACATTTTTCTCTTACAAAGAAAAATTCGGAAAATAAATGATCAGAAAATGGGTAGTATCCACCTATTTGTTTATTTTCCTTTTTAGTGCTTCTTTACTTTCTGGCACTGGGAGATGCTCTAGGCTTAACCTGTCTTTTCCTTGAACTAGCCCTAGAATTAGCCATTCCTCTAAGGATCCCTAGTTCCTTTATTGGAAAATGATATTTAGAATACTGAGAATACACCTCACTGAATACTGGGTGTGCTTATTGTTGCTGGGGTGTCATTGCCTCTGGGCTCTCTCTGAGGACAGAGCTAAGATATATATTTAAGTATACTAAAAATGTATAAACACCTATCTATAATCTATCTATCCTATCTATACCTACCTATCATCTATCCATGTCTATCAATGACTTATCTATCGATTGATCTATCTACCAAGACTAAACACGAGTTCATACTGATGTATCTAACTCTAAGCAAGTACCGCAGAGTTAATCCTAAATTTCCCCCATGCTTATTTGTAATTTATTTCTATGATAGTAAGAAGCCTAGATCCTATTTAACTAACATTTATTCTATCATTTTTCAACCCTAGTAAACCTATAAAGTAGTTTCAGAATTATTAGCTGGTATTCCTATGAGAAATAAATTCACTATCTGGAATACTGTGTTTACATATAGTTAGTTTTGTTTTTTTTTTTTTTTGGTCTTTAGTCTGTTTTCAGTCAAAATACCATTTTCCTAAGTTACTTAGGAAACTCCTTTTTTCTCCTACCACTTTCGGTGAGGTTATGTCATACACTTATATTACAAATAAAGTCATTATAACAATCAAAAAGAAAGAAAGAAAGAAAGTGGGTAGTGCTGAGGAGTGACAATTTTTTTAAAAATATGCCCCCATACATATCTTCAATTAGAAGATTTGTTACACAGATATACTCATCTCAAAATGCAAATGCTCTACCTCTTGGACTCAAGTCCAAAATAGTGTAAAATACCCTAATGGTTGAGTCAATACCTATTTAAAAGATCGGCACTTAGACAGATTAAAAATTTTGTCCGTGACGAAGACTAACGGAAAAGGTGGGGTGAGTTGAGAGGACTGGGGAGAATGGACACCTGGGACAGACATAAGGAAGTGGGGAGACCCTCATGTTTAGGGGCCAGAATAAGTAGCAGGAGTGGCTAGAGGAACCTTAAAAGAAATTCTATTTAAAAATCAATACAATTTAAGATGACTGTACTATGTAAATAATGTTTTGGCATAGGCACTGCTTAAACTAGAATAAATGAAAAAGACACAGCTCCTTTCCTTTTTTGTCTACTATTTATTTTATCTAGGACACTGAAAGTGGCTTGTGTGAGAGAAAAAAATCATTTTTGCAGGTTGCTAAAGTCTGAGTTATGATTTTGGGGAAAATGAGAACTTTTTAATTTCCTAAATGTAGGCCCATTTTCCCAGTCACAACTAACCAGTCCTATGTCTCCGATCTATTTTCCAAAGGAAATAGGAAGGTAAAAGACAAGGAAAGATGAAGAGAGAGAAGGAGAAAAAGGTGATGTCTGGATGTATTTCCACCTTCTCTCCTTCCCTCACTAAAAACAGTATCACAAAGGAAAATATTCCGGGATTGTCCCTACACATGAAATTTTGAAATATATCCTCTAAAGTTATTAAATCCAATAAACACTAACTGAATGCTTAAATGAGCTCTGGACTATTTTTGTGGAGATAGGTCTTTCAGTATAACAAAGAGACATAAAGACAAATAATTACAACGCAATGTACTTTAGTCTGGGTTTCACCAAAAGGAGAGCCTTAGAAAAGAGCTGAGTGCCATTCATTAACTTTAGAACATGATTCTAAAGAATGAGAATGGAGATCTTGGAAAAAGTAAACACGATAAACCAATATAATGTTGTGTTTTTGAGCTGATCACTACCATAGGCAATTGAAGTTTAGTCCTGAGGACCCCTGAAGAACTATATGAAATGTACCTCAGAACTGTCTACCCAAAGAATATTCTGAAGAGAGGAATATTTACCTAATAACTCTTGTCCCCATTTGACCAAGGATGCTAATTCCCTCAAACTTGCAGGTTTACACTTATGTCAGAATAGCTGAGCATATTGCAACAGGTGTTCCACGTAGCTGAAGTGTCAGAAAAGCACCAAGGCAGAAACCAAGATATATGTGGTACACAGAGATAAGGTGCTATCAAAGAGTGAAATAGGTGGACTTAAAAGATGGCTTGAGAAGATGTGAGGTGGGACACAAGAGCTATCCAGTACAGTCTACTCCTTGCAACCACATGTTCCATATTGAGTCAGTCTTTCAGGTAGTGGTTAGCCACCATATAAAGGCTTAATGTAAAATATTTAGCGAAACAAGCTACAGTCTCCACTGCTGCAACTGATTTTACATGTATAAATGACATTTATCTTCTACTTTCTCCACCACAAATTCTACACTTCCTTCACATTTGGCCAAGCTCTTCAGTGGGTACAGGTTGTTTTGAGTGATGAGATAATCTAGACCTTCATTCTCATTGGATTCGTGTCCTTGGTTGCTTTGCCTTGTCAGGCTGTGGTCACTACAGTTGCCTATTCAAGGTTTTCAATTGACACTGAAGCACCAAGAGATGCTCCAATGGATCCCCTAAGGAGGACATAATCCATTCTGCCTCCATTGAAGTTGTAACACTAACTCTTCATGGTAGTCAGGATCAATAGCCCCTTCCAATATTATGCATTTATTTGCTTGATGAACTGCTGGCACAAGAAGCCATTAAGACTAAGTGGTTTTCATAGCTTCAGGTTCAGTGGAAAACTCACTGAGTTCCATTGTGGAAGGTTTCTCACTTTACCTCCAATCCAAAAGAGCCCACAGTTGCATCATTGTGAGTGATGTAGAGAATCGCCAATTTCCACCTTCAGGTTCTTGGATCCCAGGTTCAGTGCAAATACTACATCCTTAAAAGTATCAGCCCAACCTTCCAGCTGTCCCTGAGCTTCTACTTAGTTAAGCCTTTAATAGGCCACTTCATCATTCTGTTAGGTGGCTGCTTTCAGGTGGCACAGTATATGGTAAGACCAGTAGATTCTGTGGGAATGCAACTATTTTCATATCTCCTTCTAACATAAAATGAGTCACTCGGTCAGAGGTGATACTACATAGGATCCCATGTCAGGAAACCAGACACCCTATAAGCTTTTTGGATGATGGCAGCAAATCCAAGTCTGGAACAGATGCTGATTCTGGAACAGATGCTGATTCCAGCACAGATGAGCTGTTGTCTTTCTCAAATAGGAGCCAGGTATAATTAACTTGCCATCAAGTGGCTGGCAAGTCTCCTCAGGGAATAGTACCATATCAAGGTCTTGGCATTAGTCTGGGTTGCTGATATTTTGAGCACTCAAGAGTAGGTCACTAGTTCCAGCACGGCAAGAAGGAATACACGCTATCGGGCCCACATACAGCCTTTATCCCAGCCAACATTGTTACTCTATTTACGGATCCATTGTACAAGCTCAAGAGTGGCTGAGGACAGAGGCTGGCTGACATCCACTGGTTAAGTCACTGTGACCACCTATTTATTCAGGGCTTCCTCTACAATGGATCTGCTCTGGTAGGGATTAATATGAAATGTAAAGATCCTCATGCTTTATGCCCAAAACCTGAAGTCCATCTACATGCCTCCTTCCCAAGCTTCCTTGCCTCCCAACTTCAAACCTTGCCCCAACCAACCAGTCAAATCATTTCCCAAGGGTCCTTAAATATGTGTACTTACAGGCATTTCTTCACAACACAAGTGAATGACAAAGTAAATTGCTCATGTACCTGTCCTCTAGAAGGCTTTCCCTTCACCTGTCATTCAAGGACTTTCCTAATTGGGCCTGTAGAATAGCAAGAGTTCCCTTTCAGTTAGTACTAACCCATCAGGCTTGACTTTTTTCCTCCTTTGTGTTTGGTTGTAGGGATCCTCCCATGAAGCCATGGATGTGAGCTGAGGGAAAGGCATCAACACAACAAAAGTAGGTGATGTGGGATTCTGGGACACCTATTCATGCAACTTATTTGTGCCCTCTGGACCTGCTCAGACCTGATCTTAAAGGTAGTGTTGGCATCAGATATTGGATTACTGCTATGCCCTCTTGATCTCATGACTTAATAGATCTG